AGGTCAGAGGTGGCATCTGGGTGGTCAGGGCCATCTGTAGAGAGGAAATGAGGAGTTTCTAAGGGCTAACACACACAGAGACAAACAACCTGAAGCCACGTTTATGCGTACCCTCGCTGCTAGGTTTCAAAGGTAGCTAACGGCAAACGAGCCACGTTGGCCCGGCCCGAATCTGAGAATCTGACACGGGAACTCGTGCTAAACGAGTCAGTTGAAGTAGCAACACGGCAGCTCCGTCCTAACCTCCCGACACCCGCCTATCAGACGTTCCTCCTGGGAAGAGGTGACCTGGGCCTCTCCATCTGGTTCCCGCAGGTTTTGACGAGACTAGGGGAGCCCGATGATCAAAGTTAAGCCAGCACGTTAGAGTAACACACTATCCTACCCATGATGCCGGGCTGGGTAAGTCATTTTGCTGCAGCTCCAGGAGAACGGGGAAGAATTCTAGGTTGCTCACATTTTGGGTGATGATCAGAGCTCCTGAAGCCCGTTCTCCTAAGGCTCCCTGCGGAGCCTACAGAACGTTCCCAAGTGTTGCCACCTACATGGCTGTCCCCGTCAAAGTGGAGGGTTTCTTCAAGGTTGTTATCGCTGGTCAGAATGTTCTTGAAGCCTACGGCAAGTGTCTACCCTTTGGGAGGTGGCTTCGATTCTTGGACAGAGCCAATGGCTTTTGAACAAGTTGGGGAGATAGAATTCCTAGCCAAAACACAAGGTGAGGACACAAGAGAAGGTTGCTTCTTTTGGGTGGTTCATCGACAGGCTCTGAAGGCAACTAATCGTGACAAGCAACAGCAACAGCCCAGGACTGAATGCCTCGTTGGCCAAGGGGACTGCTGGGCCAGACCGCTCCTGTGCAGATTCCGGCGTTTCACTTAAAAAAAAAAAAAAAAGACTCACCCCATCATGCCTCGATGACGTGTAAGACAATGCTTGGGTGACAAAGACCCAGCCCAGCCTTTGAGGAGGAGCCCGGGACACAACACATTCGATGGGACACGAGGTCCTGGCTTTGAGCTCAGCTGGCAAAGCCTCGCTCTCAAGTTTTCAGTGGCACAGAATAGGAAACATTCGTAGTCACTTAGAAATGCAAGTCTCCCGGAGCCCAGCTGTAAGAATTACTTCTCGACGAGGCTCACACACCACAATTTCATTTGAAGGTCTCCTAATGTTTCCTGGTATGTATATAAAGCATACATTTCCATAAGGAAAATAATTATCTGCCTCTACGGCACCTTCCCTTTTGTCTACTGGATGGCAGACAGATTGGTCCCTTTGCGAGCGTCCATTAGGCAGATGGATGGACTTTCAGACATTGAGGCAAGGCCTCCGACACAAAACAAATAGTCATTTGGCCCAAGCGATCACAGAACGGATGAGGCCCTCCTGTAACACAGATGCATTGGAAGAAAACACGAGCCCCGTCGTTAAAATTAATACGAGGACGGCAGGATGCTCTTTAATCCGCATGATTGCTTTATTGTACAAAAAGTTTCCAGTAACAGTGAATTAGTTTTAAAAAAGGACAAAAAAAAAAAAAGTCAT